TGGGTTCAGGCTCTCCCTGTCGGTGCTGAGCCTGGGGAAGGGGTGGTGGTACCCTTGCAATGCGTCTTCATGATGAAATGCATGGGGCCAGATTCCCAAAAGCTCAGCATCCCAATGGGGGCAGACGTACAGTAAAGCTCAGCTCCCATGTAGTACCCAAATAAGGGCTGATTTTTAAAAAGGGGTCAGTCAACACCCCACCCGCTGGGCCAGCCCAGATTGTGGGTGCTCTGAAAATTCTGACCTTATCCGAGGCCTCTCCTCCCTGTCGCCAGGGTTGGGGGTGGGGCTTGGAAAGGGACCCACCACTGCCTTCTCACGCTGAGCCTTGGCTGCCGGAGGTTAGGTAACACTGTACTAAGCCAGCCTGTGGTCTTAACCCAGACAGACTCGCCAGTCAAATTAATGGGCCTGATCCTGCGCTCTCAACAGGGGTTTATTTTTTAATAGCTGTAATTCTGTTGAGTATAATGGATTTACTCCTGATTCCCATGGGGGTGAGTGGGATCAGGATCAGACCCTCTCTGTGCAGCCCTGTCATACTTCAGCTTTGCTGCCGGTCCTTTAGAAAGCATTGTCTCCTTTCACACCAGTGCTTCCAGGGAAAGGGTGCGGGCACTTTCTCTGCCAGTGCTATCATTGGGACAACTTGCTCCAGCGAGCCCGTCGAGCTGATATCACTCGACAGTAGGTGGATCCTAATAGGTGGGGCTCTGTTTCCGCCAGCCCCTGCCAATGTCAGAGAACCTGCACGCAGTGAGGCAGGCTGTGTCTCGGGGACCTTTGTGGCAGGCTGCTCAAAGCCACATTCATGTGGTGTGGGGCGCTTTGCTTTGAGCGTGACGAGCCACCCAGTTAATCCCAGCATGACACATGGCCAGTGGTGCTTTGCCCGTCTAGCACGGCCGCGGTGACTTACTCTGCTTGCTCCGTAGGGGTTAGAGGCAAGTTTTCCCAGTGTGGAAGAGGGTGTGTAACACATGGGGCTGGTCACAGCCTATGACGATGCTGCCTGTTGGAGCCAGCTGAGGTCACTCAATTAGGGTGAACTGCAAACAAAAGGGGGCAGACAAACCCCAGAAGCTGGTGGTTATTCCAATATTTAGATTTACCAAGCCAGCACAAAACAGCTTCTATAGTATCATACAGGTTACTCAGAAGTCCAAACAACGCAGTTCCCTTAAAGTACCCAGCCTCAGGCCTCCATCCAGATACACGTCAGATATGATGATGATTACTGAAAATCTTATCTCATCATGTAAAAGAGAGGTTCTTCCAACCCCAAAGGATCAGCCACATACCCAGGTCCAATTATAACTTGGATCTTACCCAAAATATATGCTATAGTCAATTCTTGTTAACTAAACTAAAATGTATTAGAAAAGAGAGTGTGTTGGTTAAAAGATCAATATACATACAGACTTGAATTCAATTCTTGAGGTTGATACATAGCAGAGGTGAGCTTGTAGTTGCCAAAAGTCCTTTTAGAAATAGTCCATAGGTTATCGTCCAATGTCCATATTCAGGGTGGCACCTTTAAGACTAACAAATGTATTGGAGCATAAGCTTTCGTGGGTGAATGCCCACTTCGTCGGTTGCATATTCAGGGTGACTCCAGTCAGTGACTGGGGATCTCAATCTTTATGGCCTAGGATTTCCCCCTCTTGAAACCCAAAGCAGATCTGAGATGAAGAAGGATCGTGTCCCTGGGTTCTTACACATTTCCAGCAGCCGTTTGGCCTGAGAAACAATAGGCTTAACTCTCCTTCTCCCAAACATCCTGGCAATTAGCACAGGGTAATTTATCCATTAACAGTTCAGATACAGGTTATCACAACCTTCAAAGAGACATGTAGACAATAATACTATTTCACTCAGGTATCTTCCTAAATGTTAATAATCCTTTTTTGCTATAGCTTTGATTCAAAGATCAATAGACAAGACTTGTTTGCTTATATCACAAGACCTGAGCAAACATCTATCCTTCTATATCTAACAATGTAGACTTGCATTTCAAAGCTCTATTCATTTACATATCTTCCTAACAAGTCTCTAAAGTTCGGCCATGGGTCAGGTCAGTCTGTGAGCTAATTAACTCTTTCTGGCCTTGTCATCTTTCAATGAGATATTATATTAAACTCATAAACGTCACACAGCCAAGGGGCCTTGAAAGTACGATCATGTGTCTGTCCATGTGTGATCCTGCAGGCGGCGCCCCTGGGGCGTGGAGGGGTTCAGTGTGCACATGGCCTGTCTCATGCCCCAGCATGCACTGAAGAGGGAAGGGGGGTGTCAGAAGGAAGGAGAGGAGGGGTGGCCAAGTTAGCCTGTCACTTTGGAGACCTGGGTTCAGGTCCCTGCTCCCCTAGAGACTCCAGTGTAACTGGGCATGGCCCTGGGTATGGCTACACGGCAGCGGGGAGCGAGCCCCTGGAGCCGAGCTTGGGGGCCAGCCTGCATCTCTGCCGGCGCACCAGCTTCCCAGCTGCTGTCTCCAGTGGGCTGGTTCCTCTCTGTGCACCCGAGCAGCCAGGCTTCCTCCCAGCTGCAGTGTAGATGGACCCTCCGGGCCTGAGCTTCCCATCTGCATGCTGGGGCTCACAGCATGGCCCCGCCTCGCAGGGCGGCTGTGCTGATGTAACGACTGAGGCACTCAGACCCTGCGGTACTGGGGGCCAGCTAAGTACCATAGACAGACATCAGGCACGTCAATTCTGCTCTTCCCTGGCTTTGCCAGAAGCCCTGTTGGCGGGATCTTGGAGATGGGAGCGTTGTCAGCCTCCGAGTTCTGAATCGTTCCCAAGGACCCCTTTTCTCCCAGGGTCTGTCGGGCGCGCGAGGCTTAGATGGGTTTGAAAATAAAGCTTTAAAGAATCTGGATATAAATTGCTTCTCAGCTCTGTGAATTGGTTTCCCCTTCCACAGTTTTGCAATAGCATGACTCCTGCTCTTCTCCAGTAGCCAAGAGAGACTTTGGGGTAGGCAAGCCCTGAACTGCAAATGTTTAAAAAAAAAAAAGGCAGTGGGGGCAGACTTCTGCAACCCTTTTTTATACAACATAAAGAAACAACAACCAAACCTCAAATCTCCCCTGCAAGGCTGAACAGAACGGCCAGCTCGAGCACCCTCTCTTCAGCTGCTTACGTGTAGGGAGCATGTTGGTCAGAGGGGCCAAATTCACCTCTTGGCTTTATTGGCACACTGATTGCAGCGAGGGTGCGCAGACGGGCTGGAGGGAGACCTGCCCGAAGAGGAAGTGGGTGGTAAATGAGCACCTCTTACACCGATTTGCCATCCAGTGTGTGCACTAAAGGAGCATCACGTCCCTGTGCCGAGGGCAGAGGGAGGAAAAATAACTCAGAGGAGAGTGTAAGATGCAGGAGGAGAGTGTAGGCAGCTCCACCTGACGTCCTCTGGCTTACACCTGCTGTGTAACTTACACCCACAGTTACATCAACACTGTGTTAGGCCCAGGCCCTTCTTACTCGAGTCCCATCTTACTATAGTCAGGCTACCAGCAAGGAGCCCCTCCCGGCCATGGAGGAAGGGCCATGTGACCGGAGCAGTCTTGCAGCCCATGCAGCCAGGGCTAGGGGAACGGGAGTATCAACTGACGCCTTTCTGAGAGGGGAAGGCACCAAACTGGGGCTCAGGAGAGCTGGAGTCTATTCCCGGCTCTGCACTGGCCTTCTGGGAGACCTTGGGCGTGGTCCACAGAAGAGCTGGGCTGGCATCTGTGAACCTCAACCGCGGGGTCCCCTGGACATTGGGTCCCTTGTGCTTATCCTCCTTCAGCTGCAATTGTTCCCCTGCAGCGTCCTGTGCTCTGTCACTGCTGTGACGCCTCTCTACAGCCTGGGCCTGTAGCTTCCCCGATTTCTGCCCGGGTGAGAGGAACTAGAGGAATGTGAATATGAGACCTTCTCTGTCCCGACTCAGCCCCTGAAAACACAGGCCTTGTTCAGCATGTGATCCTGCTGGTGGCACGTGCCTGGTCACAGCAGGAACAAAGCAGGCATAGATAATCGGGGATCAGACTTGGGTACAATCAACAATGGTGTAATTAACACATGCCCATGTCATGGAAGGACAAGGAAGGGGGCCTGACGTTATGGCCCTGGGTAGACCAAAAACATGGATAAACTTAACTGGTGACCATGTGGGCCAGGAACAACTAGCTCTCACGTGGAAAGACTGATAGAAATTCTGTGGGCTCTTCTGTCCAGCGGCTCAGAGAAGTGGTAACAGCTGGAGATGAACATTATCGGGCAGCATTGTTGCAGAGGGTGGGTGTTGGGCTCAGTTCTTCTCTCATCCCCATGGTAACTCCACAGGCCTCATGATGTAAGTGGGAGGAGAGTGGGGCTCATGGTTCCACGTGTGCCCAGACACTCACCAGCCTGACACCTAAAGAGGCAGGTGGAACCCAGAGGTTTTGCAAAAGCACCTGAGCAGGTTAGGCCCCAACTCCCATGGAAAGTCGACTCTCCTAGGGGCTGTGAAATCCCACTGTGTCTGTCTGCATCTTCAGGCCCCTAGGTTCCTGGGGAAATCTGTCCCAAGGGCCTGGTGTACACTGGGAATAGCTCCATTGCAGCCACTGGGGCAGGTTAGGAACCGGCCCTGGTCTGCTCACCGACCCCTGCCAGCATGATGGCGATGAAAACACCAATGAAGCTCCTCTTGGCAGGTGGTCCCCAGCTACAGCCAGGTGGGGTGGGGTGGGGTGTGAAAGGCCGTCCTCATGTGCGTGTTGAGCCAGATTCTGATCCCGTGATGGTGAGACTCCATCGGCCCGATTCTGATCTCGGCTACACCAGTGTAACTGGAAGTAACTCCAGTAATGTCAGGGCAGCGCGCCTGTGTTACACGGTGTGCCTGGAATCAGCCTGGCACAGGGGTGGGTCCAGCAGGAGGAGTCAGGCCCGTAGCGCTCCCAGTGCACATGGCCGGTGCTGTGCGGGTCTCGCTCTAGCTCACCTCTGTGCTTTCTCTTCCAGTCTGAATACCACTACGAATACACGGCTTGTGACAGCCTCGGCTCGCGGTGGAGGGTGGCCGTGCCGCACACCCCAGGACTCTGCACGGGCCTGCCAGACCCCATCAAGGGCACAGAATGCTGTAAGCTACTGGCCTGCCCCAGCTGCCCTGTGCTCCCTGTGCAGGCGGTGACTGGGGGAGGCTGCACTTGTCACATCTCATCTGTGCCACTGGCTTCCGAAACGTCCCCACCAGGCTATTAAAGGGTACAGGCCTGCTCTTGCTCCCTGTGAAACTGGGGGGAGCTTTGCCACTCGCTTCCCGAGCAGCAGGCCAGCAAATATTAGGCCTGATTCTCCTCATGTAAATTAGGAGTAACCTCCTGAGGCCCCATTCCCCTCTGACCCCAGTGTAAATCAGGAGTAACTCCAATGAGGTCAGTGTAGCTAAACTGAGGTAGCACCAGTGTGAGCAAGAGCAGATTCAGATCCTGTATATCGGGGGTTTGTTGAGTATTTTTCCATCCAGTGATTATTGTAATAGAGGCTCCAGAGAAAAGACAGTGTTTCATAAGCTATGGAATGGCACAGTTCTCTGAAAGGGACCAACAGAACCTGTCTGCAGATAGCACCGGGCATTCATTAACCAAGACTCAGCTTCTCTTCCATTCCTGGGGGAGACTAGGAAGACAGGACTGCAGCAGGGGAGCCCTTTAAAGTGAGCTTTAAAGTTGCATCTGAAGAAGTGGGTTTTTACCCTTGAAAGCTTATGCCCAAATAAATCTGTTGGTCTTTAAGGTGCCACCGGACTCCTCGTTGTTTTTAAAGTGATCTGCGTATCAGTTCAGTCAGACGTATAGCCCGTAAAATGGGGATAACAAATCACACTATAGCCCCGCGCTGGGAGTCTATGATCCTGGCACTCCAGATGCAATACAAATGCTGGGGATCGTTGGCTAAACCCCGGTCCGTGTCCACCTCTCTCTGAGCTCTCTCTCTGGGGTTCTATGTTACAGCTTTCTCCTGCAAAGCGGGGCAGTTCCTCGACATGAAGGACCAGTCGTGCAAACCGTGTGCCGAGGGCAGGTATTCCCTGGGCACTGGCATCCGCTTCGACGAGTGGGACGAGCTGCCCCACGGCTTCGCCAGCATTGCAACCAACCTGGAGAGCGACAGCAGCGTCTCGGAGTCCATGGAGAACTGCACCACGTGAGTTGGTTGTTGCTGCACCCCAGGGCACGGCCACCTTGAATGGAGCCCCGGGCTGCAGCCGGCATCCTTGGCCTTTTGTGCAGGAGAGCCTGGCTTCTAGGAGTGCTGATCCCCCACCCTCTGGCTGCAGTCAGTGTGAGCTGCAGGCCACCGACACCTGACAACCAGGCTTATGCCATAATTGGACAAATCAGCGTGGTTCTGCTCTCACTTGCCCAGTCTCACACAGGGCCATCCCTAGCTATTCTGGGGTCCTACGCAGCCCCAGACCTCTGTGGGGGAGGGGGAGGCTGGCCCCAGGCCTCCGCATGTGGGGGCGGGGCTGGCTTGGGGGCAGGGGGAACCACCCCCCAGCACTCACCAGCGGCTGGGGTTGGGCCGCTGCACTTCCCGCTGCTGGCGAGTGCCAGCCCAGCCCTGCTGCAGTCCTCAGGAGAGTGGGGGCGGGGCTGGGGCTGGGGCTGGGGTGGAGCAGGGGCAGGGGCCATGGGGAAGAAGCAGGGAAGGAGCTGGAGCAGCACACAGCTACGCAGGGCACCAAATTTCCTGGTGCCCTACGTAGCTATGTACTTTCCATTGACAGTGACATTACGCCTGATTTACACCGGGGAGTGAGGGGAATCAGGCCCAGTGAGGGTACTTCTGAGTCACACCGCGGTGAGGGAATTTGGCCCCAATAATTGTGTCACCATAAGCGTGTGATGTAATTATTATTACATCCTATATCTAAATCACTGTGAGTGGTTTAGAAGTGGGGTTGAATGCACTGGACTATTCATGGCTCTGATTTGGGTTGGTATTTTATGCCCAACAGATCTTTAGGGGTTAGACATTTTGTGCATCCAGTTATTGCTGAATAGCAGGGAAAAGCAGATCAGTTTTGTACATGAGCAGTAGCACACGAGGGAGTGAACCTGAGCCAAAGGGAACTGGGGATTGACTCAGCGGCTGTGTTTTGAGACTCCAGGGCATGGCATTGTCTGAACCTGACCCTAACGCTGCCCCAGAACAGCAGCGAGACTCCAGTGGCACGATTTGACGGCAGCCCTAGTTGTTAGGGCTCATGTTAGCGTGACGGCGGCAGAGGCAGGCATGCGATAGAGTCAGAGCGTCCAAGTGCCGATGGGGATGGAACGCTCTGCGCGTGAGCTGCTTCTCCACGGAAGTCCCTCTGCATGCAGGCTGCCTGCTGCTGTGCTCACTGGGCCCTTGGCACTGGGAGAGACTCTGCCGTCCAGATCCCAAGGGGGCATTTGGGGCTAAAAGGATCGCTCTAATTTTTCTCTTCATCCTCGGTTCCCCGCCTCTTTTTGCCCTGTGTTAGGCCAGGCCCTTCCCTGCAGGTGGGGTAGGTAGCCAGCAGGGCGGCGGTATGAACACCACTCCCGCGAGCCGTCTCAGGAGTCTGCTCCAGCCTGAGTCCTGCAGCACTGCCAGGCCCGGCGCCCGCCTTGTTCAGTCCTGCAAGGTTTCATGGGGCTCCCAACTGAGTTCTCCGGCCTTTCACGGGGCCAGATGTTTCAGGCTGTCCTCTGACCCGATTAGCCCTGCCTTCTCAGGCTGCCTCACAGCCTGTTACAGCCCAGGCAGGGCTAACTGAACAGGGCTGGTTGGCCCCAGGCCTACTGGCCCCTAATGGGACAGCCTGCCCTGCCACACTGCTCAGACCCTCAGATCTGGGCCATCCTGGTTGGCGGCTCTGTGCTAGGTAGGTGGAGCCTTGTGCCAGCTGCTTTCTCTCTCTCCCGTCCTTTAGTTGACTGCCCTCGCGCGCCTGCCGTACCGGGTGTTGTTCCCATGACATCCCCATAGGATGTGCCGTGGGGCAGAGCTATGATCCCCTGCCCCTGCGACCCACTGCCGCTGGAACAGCGCTTTGCCCAGAGCAGTGCAGAAACCTCTGCCCTGCCGCCAGGGGCGGGGAGCATCCTCTCCCCGGGACCAAGTGCAGCAGCCAGTGGAGCGGATCCACTAGCTGAGCAGTGGGGTCCAATCTCCCAGCCAAAGCTAGTGGTAGCCACAAGTTCCCCTCCCCACTGGTGCCCTCTGACCAGGTCTTTCCCATGGTGGGGCAGAGTGGAGCAGCCACCATGTCCAACTGGCAAGGTCAGTACCGCGTGTTCGGTGGAGGGTCTCCCCACCTGCAGCTGATCCAGCCCAGGCCTGTCCAGAGGACCGTGAAGGACCCCATGTCACAGATCACAGGACTCGTGCTCTGCTTGGCTCTGTACGGTCCCTTGGGGGGACCCACTTCAGTGCGACAGCCCTTCTCGGGGTCCACTCTGTCTCGGGGTTAAGCCGTAGGCCCCTCTGTCTCCTGGAATCATACCTCTCCGAGCCTTAGCATGCCTGTCTCTCGCCATGGGCCCCCTCAGGGAGTCCACTTGCTCTGGACCCCCGGGGCCTCCACACCCAGAGGGAGCAATGCAAACCTGATCTCTAGACCGGAGTGATTCTCAGCCAGTGTAACACAGGAGGTTTTATTGAGCGTCTGAACCCAGCACAGGAAACTCTCCGGGCCTCAGGCCTGGCCTCCCTCAGCACAGCACATCTAGGTCTCTCCAGCCTCCAGGTGGACTCTGGCTGCTCTCTCCTCCCAGCCCAGAAACCCCCTCCTTCCAGCTGGGCATCCAATATCACCGTCCCCCAAGTCCCGCCTCTGTCCTTTGTCTTCTGTCCCAGGTAAGCAGACGGCCTGGGCCTCCTCTCCTCTCATCTGTCCTTTGTTTCCCCTCTGGCTGGAACCGGCTGGTCAGGTCACCAGGGTCCTCTCTCCGCAACCCATTGTCCTCCCACTAGCCAGAACCGGCTGTGACTCCTGAGCTGGGCCTCCAGGTCACCAGTCGCTGGGGTATCCATTCTCCAGGCTGCTCACCAGTCACTGGGGTGTCCATTCTCCAAGCTGGTCACCAGGTTACCAGTCACTGGGGTATCCATTCTCCAGGCCGGGCACCAGTCGCTGGGGTATCCATTCTCCAGATTGTTCGCTGGCTCTCTGTAACAACAAACTCCCTCTCCCACCACCTTGTTAAACCAGTAACACACAGGGAAACTGAGTCCCACGCCCTCTGCAAGCAAACCAGTGAAAACAACAAGAAAAGCCCCTGCTTCGTCACACCTCACATGTAGCGCTAATGTTTAGCTGGGCTCTGGCACCAAGCAACAGGACCCCTGTCACCCCCCAGCCCTGAGCTGCACCAGCCGAGCTGCACCAGCCAAGCTACTCCCACCCTGCATCACATGGCTCTCTGGTCCCCCTGTTCACCCCCATGTGTCTGAAGCACGGATGTGCTGTTCAGGGAGTAGCCAACCCGGTAGCCTGGTCCCTTCTCTAATGAAGTTGCACAAAGGTTCCAACTGCTTCTCCTGTTGCACGAGGAGGCATGTCAGGTTTCAGAGTAGCAGCCGTGTTAGTCTGTATCCGCAAAAAGAACAGGAGTACTTGTGGCACCTTAGAGACTAACAAATTTATTAGAGCATAAGCTTTCGTGGGCTACTGTCCACTTCTTCGGATGCAT